AAATTTCTTGCGGTGATATTTGTCTTCTACTTTGAAGTTTTCTCCTTTAAAAAAAAAATATTTGTTCAAGGTTCTTCTGACCATTTTCAGAGCTAGTTTTATGTTTGCATTAATTGGGAATAGTTTTGTGAAATTGAAACCGTGACATCTTCCTCTGTTGTAGGGTTCTGGTGGATTGTGAATCAAAATCCGTAGTTGTTGTTGTTAAGGTGTTTTGGTGAATCAGTCATCAAGGAAATGGAAAACCAGTTTGCTTCTAGAGAGAAGGGGTTTGGTTATCTAGATATACCAGCAGAGCAAATGGATGGTTTAAGCTTTGGTTCAGGTTTTAGGAACTTGTGCTCTGATGATATGTTTAACTCGCCTTCCTCGGAGCTTATGAATTTCGACTCTTTTGCTACCACATGGTGTAATAGTCCTTCCGCGAACGATATCTTGTTCGCCCAATATGGTCTATCGACTCCCCAACCTATGCCCTTTGGAGCTTTCACTTCATTTCATACAGCTGAGCCGAAGGCTGTTACTGTTTCAGGTCTTACTCGTTCATTTCGTGATTCGGATAGCTCTTACTATGGTGAAGAAAGGTCGTCAGTACAGGAATTGAGCTCTCAGTTTCTTCGATCTTTAGATAGCGATGAGTTAAGTGGTAAACGACGCAGGGTTACTAATCCGAAGAATGGTTTTCCTAACGTACTGAACTGTACTGTTCCCAGGTCTTTGAGCCACTCACTTGATGAGAAGATGCTTAAGGCATTGAGCTTGTTTATGGAGTCCTCGGTTTCAGGAGAGGGCATTTTAGCACAAGTTTGGACCCCTATTAAGACAGGAGACCAGTACTTGCTTAGTACCTGTGATCAGGCCTATTTGCTTGACCCGAGGCTTTCTCAGTACCGTGAAGTGTCGAGGAAATTCACGTTTGCTTCTGAAGCAAATCAATGTTCTTTTCCGGGTCTTCCTGGCCGAGTCTTTATCTCGGGAGTACCCGAATGGACATCAAACGTTAGGTACTACAAGACGGATGAGTATCTGCGCATGAAGCATGCACTAGATAATGAAGTCCGTGGTTCCATTGCAATACCTATCCTTGAAGCATCTGGGACATCTTGTTGTGCTGTCATGGAACTCGTCACATCCAAGGAAAAACCTAATTTTGATATGGAGATGGACTCTGTTTGCCATGCTCTCCAGGTTGATTCA